GGGAGGAATTGGATTTGCCTTAGTCGCTGAGACCCCAGGGTGGCAGCAGGTGACGCAGCTGGTGGGAGACGCTGCTGTGATCTCAGGCTTTCGACATAGAAGTGTCTCTGGACGGGAGACAGTGTCCGCGCTGCTCCCCAAGGAGAGAGCTGCTGGTCTGCAGAGAGGCCTGTGGGCGTGGTCACGGCGGGGGGGGGGGGGGGGGGGCGCCAGCCCCACACGGCCCGGCACAAGTCAAGTACATGTGATCCTGTAATGTGTGTAGGGGTTGTGACTGGATTCTTTCACTCAGCATGTTTTCAAGGGTTGTTCATGCTATGACATGTATGTTGTTGGTTTTTTCGTGTTTTTTTAAATCCTCACCCGAGGATATTTCTCCATTGACTTTTAGGGAGAGTGGAAGAGAGAGGAAAAGACAGACAGAAACATCGATGTGAGAGAGACACATTGATTGGTTGCCTCCTGCACGAGCCCCGACCAGGGCCCAGGCCAGGGAGGAGTCTGCAATCAAGGTATGTGCCCTGGACCGTAATCGAACCCGGGATCCTTCGGTCCCCAGGCTGACACTCTATCTACTGAGCCAAACCGGCTAGGGCTGTTATGACATGTATGAATGCTTCATACCATTTTATGGCCCTATGGTATTCTTTCCTATGGATATACCACATTTTGTTTATCCGTTCACCAGTTGATGGACACTCGCATTATTTACACTTTGGGGCTGTTAGGAATAATGCTGCTATGAATCCGTGTCTAAGTCTTTGTGTGGACATGTTTTTAATTCTCTTGGTGTGCACACAGGGGTGGAAATACCGGGTCCACAGGTAACTCCTACGTTGAACTGTTTGAGGAACAACCAGGCTGTTTTCAAGTTCCCATCAGCAGGGCACGAGGGTTCTGATCCCCCCACGTCCTCACCAACCCTTGTCACTGTGTTGGACTTTGTGATTCCCACCGTCCTAGTGCGTACTGAGTGGTATCTCGTTGTGATTTTGGTCTGCGTTTCCTTGAGGACTGATGATGCTGAGCATCTTTTCCTGTCCTCATTGGCCGTTGTGTATTTGGGGAGTGTCTGCTCAGATCCTTTGCCTATTTTGGGGTGGGTTGTCTTATTGTTGTGTTATAAGAGTCCTTTATATATTATAGATAAACGTCCTTTATCAGGCATGATTTCCCCATATTTCCCCCACTATCTAGCCTGTTCGTGCACTTTCCTCACAGCGTCCTGGAGCACACATCTTTTTGATTCTGATGAAGTCCAGCGCATCTATTTCCCTTTTGTTGCTTGTGCTTTCGGTGTCATATCCGAAACTCCAAATCTGAGCTCATGAAATTTACTCATGTTTTCTTCTAAGAGTTTTTTAGTTTTAGCTCTTAAACTAATTGGATCCATTTGGAGTAACATTTTTATATGGTCTCTATTTTATGTGGTCTTTATATTAGCTTTTTAAAATCAAATGTATTGGGGTGACATTGGTTAATTAAGTTATATAGGTTTCAGGTGTACATTTCTGTAATACGTCATCTGTGTACTGCATTGCGTGCCCACCACCCAAAGCAGTGGTTCTCAACCTTGGCTGCACATTAGAATCACCTGGGAATCTTTTTAAAATCCTGATTTCTGGGCCTCATCCTCCGGAAATTCTGTTTCTTTGTTGCTAATGTTGTGGCCCCATCCCATAACAAAGAAACAGAATTTCCGGAGGATGAGGCCCAGAAATCAGGATTTTAAAAAGATTCCCAGGTGATTCTAATGTGCAGCCAAGGTTGAGAACCACCGTCTTATAAGAACTCTTGTGATTATATTGGTCCCACCTGGATAATCCAGGATACTCTCCCCATCTGAAGATCCTCAACTTAACTACACCTGCAAAGCCTCTTTTGCCACATCCTATAGTGAAAACATGGTTCTTAGCTTTTTCTGTCTGACTTATTTCTCTTAGCATGATATTCTCAAAGTCCATCCATGTTGTCACAAATGGCAGTATTTCATCTTTTCTACGGCCGAGCAGTATTCCATAGCATATATGTACCACATCTTCTTTAATCACCCATTGAAGGACACTTCAGTTGTTTTCATATTTTGGCTACTGTGAGTAATGGTGCAAGGACATAGGAGCACATATACCTTTGTGAGTAAATGTTCTCAAATTTATTAAATCTTTATATACTTTTTTTAAAGAGTCAGAGTCCAAATTCATTCTTTTGCAAATGGCAGAAGAACCTTCTCCCAGAACCTTCTGTTGAAAAGGCTATTTTTCCCATTGAGTAGTCTTGGCACCTTTGTCAAAAATCCGTTGGCCACGGGTATATGGGCTTATTTCTGGAAGCTGTTTTCCATCCCACCGAGCTGTATGTCTATCCTAGGCCAGTACCACACTGTCTTCATTACCTTGTTTCCTGTGAATATTTTTAATTTATGAAATGCAATTTTGAAAATACAAAATTATCTACCACTTTTATGTTATTAAATTAACTGTCAATTCATGTGTTTAATTATTAAATCAGACTCTATCCCTATCTAGTAATAGCAAAAGCATAGGTGAACATATTGTTGCTGATGCATATTAATAAGATTTGGCACTTTTTTTAAAAAAACTTTTTTTTTCTACTGTAGCAGTTTGTTTTGGGTAACCAAATATTTTTTATCCTCACCCTAGGATGTTTTTTTCCATTGATTTCTTTAGAGAGAGTGGAGGGCAGGAGGGAGGGGGGAGAGAGAGAGAGAGAGAGAGAGAGAGAGAGAAACATCGATGTGAGAAAGACACATCAATTGGTTGCCTCCTGCACGTGCCAGACCAGAGCCAGGGATTGAGTCTGCAACTGAGGTATGTGCCCTTGTCTGGAGAAACAAACCCGAGACCCTTCAGTCCGAGGGCCCGATGCTCTAACCACTGGGAAACTGGCCGGGCTGGTAACCAAATCTTGCTCATATTTCTTATGAATTCAGCAGAGTTCTCTGGGACTGACCGTGATGACATGAGGGAGCAGGGAGGTTTGCAGATGGACTCCACCTCTCAGCGTCTCTGTGTGTTAGGGGTTCAGGGAGGGTGACCTGTCAGTGTCTGTGTTAGGGGTTCATGGAGGGTGACCTGTCAGTGTCTGTGTTAGGGGTTCAGGGAGGCTGACCTGTCAGTGTCTGTGTGTTAGGGGTTCAGGGAGGCTGACCTGTCAGTGTCTGTGTGTTAGGGGTTCAGGGAGGCTGACCTGTCAGTGTCTGTGTGTTAGGGGTTCAGGGAGGCTGACCTGTCAGTGTCTGTGTGTTAGGGGTTCAGGGAGGCTGACCTGTCAGTGTCTGTGTGTTAGGGGTTCAGGGAGGCTGACCTGTCAGTGTCTGTGTGTTAGGGGTTCAGGGAGGCTGACCTGTCAGTGTCTGTGTGTTAGGGGTTCAGGGAGGCTGACCTGTCAGTGTCTGTGTGTTAGGGGTTCAGGGAGGCTGACCTGTCAGTGTCTGTGTGTTAGGGGTTCAGGGAGGCTGACCTGTCAGTGTCTGTGTGTTAGGGGTTCAGGGAGGCTGACCTGTCAGTGTCTGTGTGTTAGGGGTTCAGGGAGGCTGACCTGTCAGTGTCTGTGTGTTAGGGGTTCAGGGAGGCTGACCTGTCAGTGTCTGTGTGTTAGGGGTTCAGGGAGGCTGACCTGTCAGTGTCTGTGTGTTAGGGGTTCAGGGAGGCTGACCTGTCAGTGTCTGTGTGTTAGGGGTTCAGGGAGGCTGACCTGTCAGTGTCTGTGTGTTAGGGGTTCAGGGAGGCTGACCTGTCAGTGTCTGTGTGTTAGGGGTTCAGGGAGGCTGACCTGTCAGTGTCTGTGTGTTAGGGGTTCAGGGAGGCTGACCTGTCAGTGTCTGTGTGTTAGGGGTTCAGGGAGGCTGACCTGTCAGTGTCTGTGTGTTAGGGGTTCAGGGAGGCTGACCTGTCAGTGTCTGTGTGTTAGGGGTTCAGGGAGGCTGACCTGTCAGTGTCTGTGTTGTTAGGGGTCAGGGAGGGTGACCTGTCAGTGTCTGTGTGTTAGGGGTTCGGGGAGGCTGACCTGTCAGTGTCTCTGTGTGTTAGGGGTTCAGGGAGGCTGATTTGAAAGCTAAGGAGAGATGAAGGACGACTTGGGAAGGTCTGTGTCTGGCAGGCTCTTCACACCGAGAGCTGGTGAGGACCCTGCCCTCTGAGTGAGCATGGCTGATGGTGGGAGGACCGGAGCTGTCTTGTTCTGGTATTTTAGATGCATTAAAACAAAGAAGAAAAGAACGAGGTAGCTGATGGCATTGGCCCACAGAAGGCAGTCGTCCTTTATGTGGTAGCTGTCAGGGAAGCAGCAGAGTCGCAGGACCACGCGGTGCTCTGCGGCACGGGGGAGGCCGGGCCGCGTGGTCCATGGCCACCTGCGGTCCCGGGACAAGCACGCTGTAGGTGCGCACCCAGACGGCTCAGTGTTTGATATTGTGACTCAGGAGTTGCACCTCGGTCTGCTAAAATGATTGAGAAGTTCTAAGCCTGAGTCAGTAGCCAGAGGCTCCTAGAATATAAACACATTCATTCATTCATTCCGCCCCCTCCCCGCCTCCCTACCTTGGCACCTATCATGGCGTCTTACCTGAAACACAGGTGCCATGCCAGGCGTTTGCTGGAAGACAGGCCGAGAGCTGGAGAGGAGAGGGACTCGGAGGACAGGCTTGGCGCCGGGAACGGAGCAGGGCCGTAATGGCAGGTGGACCGAGGGCCCGATGAGCCGGGAGGGCAGTGAAGGAGGCATCCCTGGTGCCTCCACCTGTCTCCTCTTCCCCGTGTCCCCGGTGGGAGGGTGGAGGAACGACTCAGGACTAAGAGGTCTGCGTGTCCCTCGGGTGCCACTGCTCATGCTGCACCGACACGTGCCTTTTAATAAGACATTTTGCCGAAAGCACAGCTCGCCTTCCCCCAAAGCATAAAGCCTCCTCTCCGGGCTCAGATAAGTGACTTGAATGTGATGTTACTACAGGAGCACAGAGGCTTCTGCCCTGGAACTAGGAGACGTGGAGGGAGCGAGTGGCGGATGTGTATTTGAGGAGACTGGCGTGGCTGTTGTTTTGGAAAAGACTTTTGACTTGCTCACCCCTCTCGGTAGCTTTTCCTCGCTTCGCAGGAAGGAATAGAAGGCCCAGCATCGGCATGGATTTACAGTGAACAGGACAAGAGTTGTCCCCTTCCCTAGCCACCTGCCTTTCCCTCACTCTCTCTCTCTCTTCGGTTGCAGGCAGCAAGGAGGAGGGAGCTCTCGCAGCATTTCAGAGCCACGGCACTGCCAGCGCTGGGAAGGGTTGCAAGGACAGTTTTCTCCAAGGTAAACACCACCCTTGTACCAGGCACGCCGTTAGAGTTGGCCGGTCGCAGGGGGACGCACAAAGGCCCGTTGTTTAGTCTGCGAGGAGCCCGCGTGGGGGGAGAGAGGAGGAACACAGAGCGGCTGGCCGGGCAGGCGGCCCTGTTACCAGGAGAGCCCGTCAGAATCTGGGCGCTCGCTGAGCTGGGCTTACCCTGTGTGGGAAAAGGAGCGGGGACGTTTCTTAGACATCCATGCAAACAAACGCCAGTGCGGTTTGACTACAAAAATAGCACTTCGTCTTTTATGAGCCAAGAGTCGGCGATTCCCTCCAGAGGTTAAGATAGAATGCAGACTGTAGTCGCGTCACAAGGGGGGAAAACGCACACCCTGGTGTTTTACACCCATCAGACGTGCGAATCTGACACGTGAGCCATCCATGCTCTCCTTTAAGGAACACCTTTCGTCGGTCACCAACAATTGCTCCATGCAGTGTATGGTTTGGAAAATCATGTTTTAATGCCTCTTTTGGGGGGAGGGGGAGGTGTGTGTGGGTGTGTGTCAGACGACAGACAGGCAGATGCACAAAGAGGAGTCTGAGAGCGTCACACGTACGTTTGGAGCAGTAACTGCAGGCGCTTCCTTTATGAATCGGGAGCTCAGCGGGAATACAGGCTGGACAGAAGCAGCTGGGTTCAGAGTCAGCTCCAGCAATCCTGAATTAGCTGCCAATATTCTCGCACAAATTGCTGTGTCATTTCTGTGACGTCCCCTGGGGCTGCGCCGTCTGGAGCTAAAAGCTGCTTTTGCTCAGCCCTGAATTATATCTGATGAAACGCCTCCTTCTTCCTGATAAAGCTATCCGGACACACGCGCGTGTGCGAGCGCGCGCACACACACACACACACACACACACGCAGAAATATATGCTCCAGTTTAAAAGAAAGGAAACTTGTCAGCTCTCCCTGATTGGCAGTTGACATACCGTTGCCATGACTGGGTCCCTGGCTTGCTGGAAGGGAGTTCAGAGGGGGGTCCTTCCCAGCCTGGCTGTCCTTTCTGGGGGGAGGGGGGACATTGGAGGGGGTTTTGCCATGCGGCTGGCTCCTTCTCTGTTCTGACAGAGAGGACATTGTTTGCTGACAGGGCTGGCAGCTCTGTGCACACAGCATGGGCCAGAGCAGAGCAGGGAGAAGGCGCAGACGCCGCAGCTGTGTGCTGGCTGAGAGGGTTTTAAAAGACCCTTTACCAGCTTCTCATTCTGTAGACATGGGTCCCAATTTGGGGAAATCATTTCCTTGAAGAGACGTTGTCTTCACATTGCATTACACTGTGTAACCTGAGAAAAGGCTGCAAGGTAGCAGTGTGCCTGCTTTAATCCTTCAGTGATGAGAATTCGACCATGGCGTGTAGAAATCCGATATAATAAAAGCCTAGGTGGCGTCATGTGCGATGTCATCACAAGATGGCCACAACAAGATGGCTGCCACAAGATGGCTGGCAGGGGAGGGCAGTTGTGGGTGATCAGGCAGGCAGGGGAGGGCAGTTAGGGGCAATCAGGGCAGTAGTGGAGGGCAGTTGGGGGCGATAGGGCCAGCAGGGGAGCAGTTAGGCGTCAATTAGGCTGGCAGGGGATCGGTTAGGGGCAATCAGGCAGGCAGGCGAGCAGTTAGGAGCCAGCAGTCCCGGATTGTGAGAGGGATGTCTGACTGCCTGTGGAATCGGGCCTAAACCAGGAGTCAGACAACCCCCAAGGTGTCCCAGATTGGAGAGGGTGCAGACCGGGCTGACGGACACCCCCACACACACACACTTGCATGAATTTCGTGCACCGGAACTCTAGTACTATATAATGCTCTCCAGGTCCATCCATGCTATTGCAAATGGTAAGAATTCCTTCTTTTTTACAGCAGCATAGTATTCCATTGTGTAGATGTACCACAGTTTTCTAATCCAGTCATCTGCTGATGGGCACTTAGGCTGTTTCCAAATCTTAGCTATGGTAAATTGTGCTGCTATGAACATAGGGGTGCATATATCCTTTTAAGCAATGTGTATGGTCTCTATCTAATTAGTCTCACTATGCATGTGTCATTAAATATTTTTTAAAAATTATTGGGTAGGATTATCTTATAATGCAGTTCAATTTTTAATTTTTTGAGGAAACTCCATAGTGTTTTCCATAGTGGCTGCACCAATCTGCATTCCCAGTAATAGTGTATGAGGGTTCCCTTTTCTCCACATCCTCATCAACACTTGTCATTTGTGGATTTGTTGATGTGTGCCATTCTGACAGGTGTGAGGTGGTACCTCATTGTCGTTTTGATTTGCATCTCTCAGATGATTAGTGACTTAGTGACTT